AGTAATCTAAGGTACAGTAATAGTAATCTAAGGTGCAGTAATAGTAATCTAAGGTACAGTAATAGTAATCTAAGGTACAGCACTCAGTCTGTCCTGCAGTCTCGACGCTCACTGCACTTGGAGCACTGGCAGCTCTGAGTTTAGGACAAGATTTGGTTAACGCCACACGCCACCTGATGGTCACCTGACTCAGTAGGAGACGCTCAGAGAAGCTTAGAAACCAAACGACACCGTTACCATCCACCAACAAACGCCCCATAACGCCTGGCCACACCCACCACATAGGGTTTGATGGCGTCACCGACGTCCTCGTCCATGTGGATGTACATGTTGAGCAGCTGCGGCAGGTAGAAGTCGACCTCCTCGTGCGGGAAGCTGAACAGGCGGTTACCGATGTAGGCCTGCACGCCAGGCTCCTTAGAGTTGTGCAGGTAGGAGATCGCCATGGAGACGTCAAACAGCTTGGACTCGAACAGGCGCAGCAGCCACGACTGTTTGGAGGGGTTGTGTCTCTGCCGCCGCCGCGCGCTCTTGACTGAGCCTGGCGCCGGGCCCTCTGGGTCGGACGGCGGCGCATCTGGTCCCTCCTCGCTCTGTGATAAGGCGCTGTCGGAATCCACCTGACGCAGCTTCACCTTCTGCAGCACTTCCTGACACGCTCGCTGGGCTACCTCGGCATCAATCACCAGGCTGAGCTCAGCCACTCCCTCGTTGATCACGCCCAGGGGAGGGGTAGTAGCCTGTGGGGGGCCGCAGGAAGAGGACGGCGTGGAGGGGAGAGACAGCGAGGGCGAGGAGGAGATGGAGATGGAGGGCGAGGGGCTGTTCTGATCCGAGTGGGCGGGGGAAAGATCCAGCTCAGCATCCTCCATCATGGCTGCCAGTTAGCTCCACCCTCTGGCACTGAAAGACAGAGAGATCAAAGGTCAGGCTGTGTGTTGTCAGATCAGCTGATTGGTCAACGAGTCAGCGGCGAGGGGGGGTTGTGTGGCGAGCTTGGCACCGGTCACAGGAATGACGGCATGTTCACAACCATCAGACAACATCATCAACTGATCAATCTGCTGATCGATCGTGCATGACGAAACAGGAAGTGCTGATCTGCAGATCTTTGTTTTTCAGCGTCAGAGTAAAACAGATCCCAATCAGGATCAATCAATCACCGCTCTGCTGCTCAAAGACATAACAAACCTTCCTCTGAGTAGGAGGAACTATTTTCTGTCCACGTCTACACTCGCCGACCACAGGAAGCTCGCTCACGTCACAGCTGAGGAGAGAGACTGTCTGAAGCAGTTACAGGTGAGAGCGCACCTGAGCAAGTCTCTGAGCTTCAGCCATATCAAATAATCAGTTATTGATCAGAGAGACTGCCCTCTATAAAACAAGCTCAGTCACACCGCAGGTGTGATGCTGGGGTGGGTGTGGTTCGTGTTCCTGATCCCTGGGAGGTGCGCTCCTCACATCATCAATAAATCCGGCCAGGCATTCACATGAGGGGCGGAGTCTGCATGTGATCAATCATTAACAGGTGATTTACAGAGAAGAAATAATAAAAAAGCAGAGTGAGTCACCAGGACAGGTGTGTGTGTGTGTGTTGTAAGTTTGACAACCCCTGTCCGCTCAGTTTGATAACCACGCCCCTGTGACCGATGACGTCAGGGGCCTGATAGGGGCAACCTGAGTGCGTTGAACTGGTTTCAAGTCAGGTGAGACACCTTCAAAACACCCACACGTTTATCTTTGTAGCCCCACCTCAGACCACTTGAGCTGTACAGGCGTGACCTCCCAGGGGTCAGAGGTCATCGGGACCAGAAATCAGCTGTTAGCCTGGCATTAAACTAACAGGCCATTTGACGGCTGACCGTCAGCTGTCCCAGTGACCCTATTCTGGCTCTGAGGTCGCTGTTCCCCATATTTGCTTTGGTCCTCTAGTCAGCTGACCGTCACCAGGCCGTTAGTCAGCTGACCGAGCGGCTCTATTAGCTGCAGCCTATTAGCCTAGCTTAGCTCAGCATTAGCAGGCCAACTGTTGCTGCCTGCGCGCAGCCCCCTTTTAAAGCTCTGTGCTAAGCTAACATTAGCAGCGGTGCGGGGACAGGTGAGCCCAGCCGGTGTGCTAACATGTCCAAGTGTTCCCAGGTAAGCTTTTCTTACCTGGTGATGGCTCAGTGCGCGTGAAATTATGTTTTAAGTCCAGCTCGGGTCCATTGATAGCGTCCGGCCATCGTCTCAGCCGCTGCTTCTCTTCTTCCTCTGCGCTCCACGGTTCTGTGGAGATCACCGTGTCTGAGCAGCGCCCTCTGTGGCGGTGAACGGTCATTGCAGCGCCTCAAACCATCACAGAAATCCCCCCTGCAGGGTCATTTCAACACGTCACTGACGTCAAAGACTCCGCCTCCTCCGCCCTGTTAAAAATTTAAATCATTATTCAGAGAGCTTCAAATGTTTTCATGAACATCACACAGCAGCACAAAGCTGTTTCATCTCCGCTCAGATGAAAAGGTGTGAGCCTCGATGTTTCGCAGTCCCGTCTCTTCTTCCAGTCCTCAGCTCCTCAGCTCACCTGAAGATTCTCTGGTGAACCCGTTTTGCACCCAGCCATTCACTGCAGTGAATTTAAACCCGTACACTGCTGTATCTGTGTGTGTGCGTGTGTGCAAAGGAGTGCTGAAAGGTTACAGTGGTGCTGAGGTCCAGTTGGCCCTACCAGCGCCCCCCACTGGCCACAGGGTGTACAGTCAATCTATTTCACCGAGTGTTCTGGCGTCTCACAGGTGATCTCAGAGTGTCAGCTCTCATATTTATCAGCAGTTTATTACAGAGAGGAGAAACTAAAAGTTTACAGCAGCTGCTGGTGCTCAGATGAGACGACCAATCGACAGACAGATCATCTGCAAACAGCAAAGCTGAGACAGAAAACAATCCGCAGCATCTTTGTGATAAAGTTTTAATTTCAGCCGGCGTGTGAACATTAAAGAACATTTTACAGACTTCATTGATTCAACAAGAAAAGCCTTTGATCTGATTTTTTTTTTACCGAGTTGAATTTTCTCTCAGACAGGAGAAGAGCAGGTGAGTTTAACCTGGTAGTGGAGCCTCTAGTGGCTGAAAGGAGCATTACAAAAACAAGCTGCTGTGATCCAGCTCCTCTTCAACACGCGATAATGATAATAATAATAATAATAATAATAATAATAATAACAATAATAATAATGTATACTTTATTGGTAGCTTGCTCAGGGGTACCTCAGAGCTATCCCTGCTGGTGTTTGTGTGCATACTTCGACCGACACAGACTCACGGTTCTGCTTCCTGTTTGATCGATCATCGAATCACTGATCTGATTCATGAGGTAGGAATAGAGCGAGCGGGGAAAGGCGGATGTTGTGAAGATGAAGTCTGTAAAAACTCTGGGAGTTTCCCCTGAGCCGGAGCGATTTAAAGGAGCATTCTGCATTTTCCCTCCTGCTGGCTTTCAACAGCGTGAGCAGAGTGCTGTACCTGCAGGGAGGACCTGAGGGTGGCGCTTCACCTGAATTTGGAAGTTCAAAGTTGGCCTGAAACATACATGCAGTGTGGAATAAAGCGTAATGGCCCTTTAACCTGTTCTTCCGAGGCTGGATGGAGACTCAGTGAGGAAGCTTTGGAATAATGAACAAAACATGGACACATCTGCTGAGGCTCATTTCTGGTACAGAAACACCGATTATATCTGATTCTGTTATTGATTATCTTTATGTGTGTGTGCTGATCTCTGCTGCACTTTGTTCTTTTTCCTGCGGCTGATGTGATGGACAACAAAGTTATTCTAATGCGTGATGGTGACACCAGACGTTACATGGAAATCTGAGCTGTTCTCAAATGTGTTTGGACTCTGAGGCTCAGGATGATCATGGCTTCACAGCCAGATGTCGGAGGTGCAGTCTCCGCCGGGGTACCGCAGCTCGTGGGCCAGAGCCGGACCGTCGGGCTCTTTACCAAAATCCAGCAGGAAGTCCTCGTTCAGGGTCAGACCGCCATCCACAGTGTCCACATTGATCTGCATCATCACCGATCCCTCCCTGAGCACAGACACAGTAACAAGCATGTGCACACACGAGCACCACAGCAGCATCCTGCGAGACGATGAAATAGGTCCAGGTGGACTGAGGTGGAACCCCTGTGGGGTCAAGGGTCGCACCTGATCATGTCGGGGTAAAACTGTTTGTCCCAGCCGCTGTACAGAGACGTGGTCACGTAGAGGCGCCGCCCGTCCAGACTGAGCTGCAGCATCTGAGGACTTCCAGCGATACGCTTCCCCTGAGACGGACACAGGTGAGACACAGAACAGGTGGGAAACATTTAAATCCATTTATGTCTCTGCAGGTACAGTCTACACCTGTCCCCCCTCCTGGGGTTATCGTGTAACCATGGTTACTCTTATCAGGGGCTGAGAAGACTCCGGTTCTTCTACAGAGCGACAGGTGTGCTGCTTCCTGCCTCTCTGCTTTGTGATACCTTTATGATGCAGGGGCGGGGCTGCTGCTGGTTCTCTGGGTCCTCCAGGACTCTGACAGGTCCGTCCCTGACAATGCTTCCTCCCAAGAACACCTGGAAGAGACAGACAGGTAAGTGGCCTTGTGCTAACGATCCACATATTCAGTGACATCACCCGACAGGGTGATAAAACCACACCTGGCCGACGAGCCGTGGGTTTCTGCGGTCTGTGATGTCATATTGTCTGATGTCACCATGCAGCCAGTTACTGAAGTACAGATAACGGTCATCCAGTGAGATCAGGATGTCTGTGATGAGACCTGCGCAGACAGACAGGTGAGGGGGTCAGACAGGTGAAAGACTGCAATCAAAGGGAAATGACTGCACTCACCTGGCATCTCGGGCAACATCCATCCCTCCACCTTCTTACTAGGAATGCTGATGACCTTCTC